TGTCCCTGGGCCCCGTGCAGATCACTTTCTTGACAGGGTCCCCGTTGACGGTGGACTCCTCCTTGCACGTGCCGTCGCTCAGCGTGGGCTTGACATACACGAAGGGCTCCTGGTGGATCGTCACGATCTGGGGGGAGGCGGAGACCGGGTCTGGACCACTTGCCCTCGGCGGCCGCGGGAGGGGGGGGCGGGGGCGGCGCTGTCCTCTTCTCAGCGCCTCCAAACCCCAAATCCTGACGTTTCCCCCTCCTGCTGCTGCTCTCTCTGGGGCCACCAGCCACCGCGGTCAGCGTTACCTCCCTGCTGCGCTCAGGAGGGGCCCAGACTCAGCACCCCGAAGGCACCCGGCCTAAAACATCGCCCGGCTCTTGGCCGCTTGCCCTTTGGTTCTCGGCTCACACATCACTCCCTCCATGAAGAAGCCGCTGGGATGTCCAGTCTGTCCTGGGCACGGTCTCTGACCCCTCACGGATGAGGAACTCCTTGTCCCAGCCCAGAGCCCGCCCCATGAGGACAGGGTCCTGCCCCTGACCTCCCCTCAGAGCCTGCACCGGACCCAGGGCCCCAGTCCCTTGTCTGACTGCTCAGCCTCCCAGCAGCGGACCTTGTCTGGCCATCCATCCTCCCTTCCTGTGTCCCCTGCTGACGCCTCCCTCCCATGCCTGCCTCTTCCCCGGGGCTCACTGGGGCTCATGCTGGGCTCGCTCCTCCCCTCCCTTCAGGGGCTTGTGGGCTGGGGGTGGGGAGGGCAGATCCGGGCAGAGGGGTGCCCTGCAAGGGGAGGCTGCGGCGAGCAGGGATCCCTGCGGCGCCCTCTGCCGGGACCTGGAGGAGCCTGGGCCACAGGGTCGGACAGGCCTAGCCTCGGGGGCAAGGGCAGCATTTGGCTTTTCCCCAGGAGATTGCGAGTCCCTGAAGGAGCTTGGTGAGTTTTTAAACTTTCACCTGTTTTTTTCTTAAACAACAATACATGTTTGTGCTTTTGAAAAGTCAGCGGAGCCCTGGCTGGTGCGGCTCAGTTGGTCGCATGCACCGAAGTGCTGCTGATTCAATTCCCGGTGAGGGCACACGCAGGCCGGAGGTTCAGTCCTGGGTCGGGGTGCACACAGGAGGCAACTGGTGGATGTTTCTCTCTCTCCCCCTTCCTCTCTCTCTCAAATTACTAAGAATATATTTAAAATAAATAAGTGAAAATCAGTGGGAGAAAAAGTAAAAAGCTGGCAGCTCAGGTGGGACCATCTGACCATTGGTGTTTTCAGACTTTTCAACACGTGGTGCCTGGACGTTAGGGGAAGCCCACTCAGCCTACAGAGGAGGGTGGTGCCCTCAGGCAGGTGCTGGCCAAGGGCTGGGTGAGAGGCCCTGTGGGTGGGCCCAGGACACAGGCGGGGCCGAGGGCAGGGCCTGGGACACTGGGAGGAGGTGGTTGGTGATCGAAAACACTGGCCTGGCCCTGGCTGGTGTGGCTCAGTGGATAGAGCGTCGGCCTGCTGCTGAAGGGTTCTGGGTTCGATTTCAGTCAAGGGCACATGCCCGGGTTGCAGGCTTGATCCCCAGTAGGGGGCGTGCAGGAGGCAGCCGATCCACGATTCTCTCTCGTCATCGATGTTTATATCTCTCCCTCTCCCTTCTTCTCTGAACTCAATAAAGACATATTTAAAAAACGGGACCCTGGCTGGTGTGGGTCAGCAAGGGGAGGACCTTCAGGAGAGCCTCGCAGGAGGGAAGGGCCCAGGAACGAGCCAAAGTCTCTGGGAAGCGGCAGGCCAAGGAAGGGCAGCTGTGAGGCATGAGGCCGTGGGGAGGGAGCGCCCAGAGGCCCAGGGAGAGTCCCGGGGGGAGTGGCCCCCACAGGGATGCTGCGGGAGGCCAGGGTGGAAAGGACAGTGTGACCGGGCGTGGCAGGAAGCTGGCGTGGGGCTGGCCAGGCTCTCCCACAGGGGAGATGAGGAGTGTGGAGGTGGCAGCCCTGGGACCAGAGCTCGGACAGAGAGCTAAGGCTGAGGCCCACGGGGTGCCCGCCCCTCTGCCCTGTTCCCCCAGCAGCTCGTCCTCAGAGAAGTCCTGTCCCTCACAGCTTCCCCGGATGTAAGTGGGAGAGAGCCGCGGGGTGGGGGCTGGCAGCTCCCCCCTCCCCCGCCTCCGGGCTCCCTGTGCCGAGCCAGGGGTGTGCTGGCGGCCAGGTGCTGTCCAGTCCCCACTTCCTTTGGGCACTTTCGTTGGCCGCCCCGTGCCCTCCTCTGGGTCTGAGGGGTGGAGGGAGTGTCCAGGGTGAGGGTGCTGGGTGGGGCGGCGGGCCCCACCTTCAGCCTGGTGGACATCTGGTACCCTCGGGGTTTCTCTGTCTCTCCGCCCGGCCAGATGATCTTCCGGTCGTTGGGGATGACCTGGGGGTGGGAGTATGAGATGGAGGGTGGCCACGCAGGGGTCTTGGCCCCAGGACCCTAAGGCCCCAGCCCCCACCCCCTCATGACCCCCACCTACATGGGTGCCGTTGTAGATGCCCACTTGCACCAGCTTGCGGTTCTGCAGGTTCATGATGCTGTAGTTGGCGAACTTCCGGTCACCGTCCTCATTGAACTCCACACGGCCCGTCACCCCTTCCGCGTACTTGGAAGACATCAGCACTCTGGGGGGGCAGCGTGGGTTCCACTTGACTTCTGGGGGCCTCCATCCCCGGCCTCCCACGCAGCCTGACCCCGCCTCCCGCGCAACCTGACCCCGCCTCCCGCGCGGCCTGACCCCGCCTCCTGCGCAACCTGACCCCGCCTCCTGAGCGGCCTGACCCCACCTCCTAAGGGGCCTGACCCCGCCTTCCGCTCAGGCTGAACCTAGCCGGTTGCCCCGGTCCCGCGACCCTGGAGCTGTGAATCCAGCGGGTGGCGCGCAGGTCTGCCTGCACCTGGTGGACAGCACACCATGGCCGCAGAGCAGCTCCTGGAGCCAGCCCGGTGCTGAGGGCTCTCTGTGGGCTGGGGCATTCTATCCTCATAGCCCTGTCCTCGCTTTACTGCCAGAAAGGACACAGGGTGAGGTCCTGTCTGTCTGCGTGTGCACACCACGCCTGTGCATGTGGCATACCCAGCGGGACCATCGGTGTGCACACGTGATCCTTGGTATGCAACCCCATGCACATACGTGTGGCATGTGTGCTTCATGCCTGAGTCTGTGCACATGTGTGTGCACGCGTGTACATATGCCCTACATCTGCAGCTGTGCGTGCTCCTGCTGTGGACACGGTGGGCTGTGGCTCCGCATGTGCAACTCAGTGCATGCTACTCGGGGTGGGACCTAGTGATGGGCTGGGCCTGCCCACCTGAGGGCCGCGAGTTAACTCCTGCCCCACTGCGGCTTTCTACTTGGGTCTGTGGCCCGCCCTGGCGCTCTCTCTGCAGGTTCGGGTGCCATCCCTGGTTCCTTGTCTGAACGCCTGGGTCCCTGGAAGCGCCCGGTCCCCACCTGCGGCAGGCTGTCAGCCACCCGGGGAGTGGGGTGGGGTTTCAGGGTTGGTTGCAGTGTTAAAAGCTGGGGGCAGGAGCTGTGGAGGCAGCGACAGGGCCGTGGTGTGTGTGGGAAATGGGGGGATGATTATAACAGTGGAGCAGGGGGTGGAGGGGAGGAGTGGGGAGAGGAGGGACCTGGGGTAGGTGACTGTGTCTGTAGCTTGTGGGCAGCCGGCTGAGCTGGACCAGCCGAAGAGCCGCTACTTCCACCTCCTAAGAGCCCTGTCCGCCTCCAGAGCGGCCCCGCCCACTCAGAGCGGCCCCGCCCACCTCTTAAAAAGCGACCCGCCCACTCAGAGGCCCCGCCCACCACTTGAAGAGCGGCCCCGCCCACATCTGAAAGAGCAGACCCGCCCACTCGGAGACCCCGCCCACATCTTGAAGATCGGTCCGCCCGCTCAGAGAGGCCCCGCCCACATCCCAAAGAGCAGCCCCGCCCACTCCGAGGCCCCGCCCACCTCTTGAAGAGCGGCCCGGTTTTCCAGATGTTGGTGTTGCCCACGCAGCCCCGCGGCGGGTCGGTGATGTTCTCTTTCTCCAGGAGCTCGTGCACCGCCTGGGCCACCACGCTCACCGCGTCGCTGATGTGGGCGGACTCGTTCTTGCCGTTGATGAGCTGCAGCCCGATGATGCCTGGGGCGAGCGAGGGCTTAGAGCCCGTGGGGAACCCGTGTGGGAACCCCGCCCGCCGGGTCCAGAGAGGCCCAGCACTCACCGTCCGGGGCGTAGCGCAGGGCGTTCCCGGAGATCTCGCGCTCCCCCACCAGCCACACGTACCCTGACCCCGTCATGTTCAGCATCGCGGCGGCGCGGTACACGGTGGCAGCGTCGTCCTCGCTGTGGGGCAGAGGGGGGTGACGGGCCGGGACTCCCGCCCTCCCCGACCCGAGGCTGGCAGGCGGCTCCTCTTGGTTCCTAGGTCCTCCTCCTGTCCCTGCCCCCCCCCCCCCCCCCCCTCTCG